CTTTGTGTTCTTTTTGAAGAATTTTCGGAGCCTGATGAAATCGGTATAAATACGTGTTTAATACCAATGATATGTATTTTGTCAAGATTATGAAAAGTTTAGATTGTAAAATACCCTAATACATTTTGTAATGTGACACTTGACACCACCCACTAAGGGGGAGGAGACCGCTAAAAGATTTCCATAGTAACGTAATGTCCAAATTCAAAATGGTTTTCACAGGATGAATTTTGAGTTTGTAGGCTTTTGAATGATAAATAATTTATTATGATTACTAAAATATGTGATGGGAAAAAGACAATGAAAAAAGAGTCCCTCCAGTGTGATGGTGACAGTTAAGGGGTTAAAAAGCATAAGGTTAAAATCTGCTCAGTCAGGCTTTTTATTGCTTTTTTTTTCATTAGGAAAAAGTGCCTGCATTCAAACTTTTGTTCTGGGACATCCATTTAGTGCAGGGGTGGCGAACGTCAGTCCTAGAGAGCCGCAGCCCTGCAGAGTTTTGCTTCAACCCTAATCAAACACACCTGACCAAGCTAATCAAGGTCTGAAGGGTTACTAGAAAGCTACAGGCAGGTGAGTTTTAATTAGGGTTGGAGCTGAACTCTGCAAGGCTGCGGATCTCTAGGAAGCTACAGGCAGGTGAGTTTTAATTAGGGTTGGAGCTGAACTCTGCAGGGCTGCGGCTCTCCAGGACCGGAGTTTGCACTTTGAGTTTAGTGTCCTCTGGATGGCCTCACTCATCAGCTTAATTCAACCGCAAGAGTTGACTGAGAATTACACTCCCTTGAGTTACATTCAACTCCCAAGAGTTTAAAAGTTTTACTCACTCCTTGAATGAGTTCAGTCTGTGCTTTTGTCCTGAGCCTGGGCTGCGTTCAGCCCCGACAAAAACGGTGCAAAACATTTTTTAAACGGATGAAATCAGTATAAATACGTGTTTAATACTGCAAAATACACTCGATGTTAGGCTACAGTCACTGCCCTTGCCGTCCAGAATAAAAGAGAACATTCCAATCGAGTGAAGGGATTTGTGGAAACTGTCGTTCCTAATTATTGTGATAATTATTGTGATTTGCCTCGCATTTCAGGATGAAAAGACAAACATTTCAGGTGAAGGATAATCCACTTCTCACTTCTTAGATTGCCTCGCATTTCAGGATGAAAAGATAAACATTTCAGGTGAAGGATAATCCACTTCTTACCTCCAAGACTGTGTTATGATCTATATGACCTTATTATTTTTATTGTGAGTATTAGGCTTATCATTATTGCTGATCACTGCTGTTGTGCTATGATATTGTAATATTTACCATTATATAATCAGAGGGGTATGAGCAGTATAATGAAAGTGTCACTCCATAATACAATAGCAAAATATATAAATATGTATAGTATTTTTATGATTTTTATGTCAGTGTCTAGCACACCTTCCTAAGGAAAGGGTGTGGACCAGAACACATTGCAATTACTAAATTATATTTAGACAGACTTAAAGAAGTTCCAGATCTATACTTGTGCCCTTATTATTTCAGTTATTTTGCCTTTAATGTAAATAAACATGTGCAAACAATATACTTGCTCTTGTGAATTTATTTTGATG